CATTTATCTCGTAGAGTACTGAGTGATATATGAAAGTGTTGAATCACTATATTGTACACCTGAAGCTAACATAACACTGTATGTTAACTCAACTGGAATTAAAATAAAATGATGGCGGAAGGAAGCAAAAAATAAATGATAACAGGAAATTGAATTTTGGTGGTTATTGGTTAAAAAATTTTTCTCCTGGATTGTAAATATGTATACTGAGACCTCGCTCTACACTCCCCCCGGGTTGAGGATCCTTGTTCTATTTACATTTCTGTGATGCTGTATTCTGGATAAGGTTGGCAGCGGGAAGTAGGCAGTAAGAAAGAAAAGGTGGGGTCTGGTAGCTCCTATACTCCATGCAAAGAAATACTGTATGGCCATCTCAGACTCTTCAATCACATGAACAAACAGGATCAGCATTATTCCCCATCCCCACCCCTGACTCTGATTGAACACACATCTCATCATGAGTATTTTATTTTTTATTTTATTTATTATTTTTTTAATTTTTTAACGTTTATTTATTTTTGAGACAGAGAGAGACAGAGCATGAATGGGGGAGGGGCAGAGAGAGAGGGAGACAGAATCCGAAGCAGGCTCCAGGCTCTGAGCCATCAGCCCAGAGCCCGATGCGGGGCTCGAACTCACGGACCGTGAGATCGTGACCTGAGCTGAAGTCGGATGCTTAACCGACTGAGCCACCCAGGCGCCCCTCATCATGAGTATTTTAAATTGGTTTGGTAACCAGTGCTTTTTAGAGCTCATAGTTTGTTAGAATTATAAAAAAGGGAAGGTACAATATTAGTATCATTAAGTTGATCTCTGTCGTGTATGTTATTTAGGAATATGTTCATATTTATGTATTATACGCATACACACACATATACACCTACACACGCACACGCACACACACACACGCACACACACACATCTAACTGAGGAGAGATTCTTCATTCAAAAAGTGAAAACTCTCTAAGAATGATGTTGCTTCATATTTGCAGGTCTCGAAACTGAGCTGGATTGAGAAAAAAATGGCTGCTACTCTGTTTGGAAAAATACCATCCTCAACTGTAGAAGAAGCTTTGCAAAATTTCCTTAAGGTATATTTTGTGTATCCATTATTTTAGTATCGAACTGGCTATATGATCTGCGTTAGTCCCCCCTACCCTTCTTCATGTAGATCTCCAATGGAAGCCTGGGGTGGAGTCCTAGTTTTAGCATGTCCAAACTGCTTCCCAGAGCAGCTAGTTATTCCCTAGGTCCTAGGTACAGCCCTTACTACCAAATCCAAGAGCAGCTCTCCAGGTTGTGTGAGCATGTGCAAAAGCATTCATGCCCTGATTATTAGACTTGGTTCCAAATTCTCGTAATGAGCCTAATATAGAACCAGTTTAATCTTAAAGAACTAAAAGATGCCAAAAGGGAGAGTTATTTCAAAAGCCATTCTACAGGTTGCAGACAGTTCTCTAGAACATTCTTAGGGTATCAGACCAAACCAGTATTTTCATTCCTGTCTTAAAATGTATAATAAAACTCTAAACAGTAATATATGTGTGTGCATATAATCAACTTTCTGGTAGGCTAATCCCTTTATCTTTCTCTGGAACCAGTTATAGAATCTTATAGAGACTAAGATGTTTCATCTTTTTCGTCTACCTATTTCAGATTTGTAACAATAGAGACAAAATCAGACTCTAAATTGTATTGTCCAACATTTTGTACCTTCTCATATTTTTTTGTTGTATCTTAGGGATCAATTTTGTAGAACTCAAAGGGATTTGGGGAACACATATTCTAAGATCACAGGTACATTTCATTGTACTTTCCATTTATGAATGAATGCTTAGTGCCTACCTACTGTGCTCTGTGGAAAAAAATAAATGTTCTGAGCTTAAGCATGAGTCCAGTGGGAAAAAGTACAGGGAATAAAAGTACAAGGGCCAGATGTTTCTTATTTTTTATTTAATGTGATCTTTTTTTGTTTTATAAAAAGGAAATCAAGGGGCACCTGGGTGGCTCAGTCAGTTGAGCATCCAACTCTTGATTTTGGCTCAGGTCATGATCCCAGGGTCATGGGATCGAGCCCCACATCGGGCTCTGCACTGAGCATGGAACCTGCTTAAGATTCTGTCTCTCTCTGCCCCTCTCCCTTACCTGTGCTGTCTCTCTCTAAATTAAATTAAAATTAGATTAAATTAAAACTTAAAAAAAGGAAATCAAGACCTCAGGAACTTAATTTTTTCTAGTGTCACACAATGGCAGACCAAAGACATGAATGTAGTTTAAAACTGTATCATCCTTATTTCTTCACCTTTTATCCACCACTGGTAATTTGTTATTTCATTTTAAATTTATAAGAATACAGATCATAGTAGGGGCACCTGGGTGGCTTAGTCGGTCATGTGACCAACTCTTGATTTCTGCTCAGGTCATGATCTCACAGTCGTAGGATCAAGCCCCAAGTTGGACTTCATGCTGTGTGTGGAGTCTGTTGGAGATTCTCTCTCTCTTTCTTGCTCTCTGCCCCTCTCCCATTCACACACACACACGCACACACACACACTCTCTCTCTCTCTCTCTTTCTCTCTCTCTCTCTCTGTCTCTCAAAATAAATAAATAAACATTTAAAAAAAAGAATATAGATCATGGGTATATTTAAGCTAAATGGTTCATAGAAGGTGCTAAGCTAATTAGGAAAAATGTCGTTGGGGCTTGAAACTCATTTCTCCATAGTAGCAGTTATAAATGGGGGATCAGATCTTTAGGACACTGCCCCCAAATTCTTAAGGTGCTAATATACCTGAAATATTACACAGATAAAATCAAAAGTGATCAGAGGCCCAGCGATGTAGAGGTAAGGATTGCAACCTCTAGAACTCTATAGACCACCTGGTTAAATCTCAGTTCTGCCACTTACCGGCTGATTAACATTAGACGAGTTTCTTAACCTTTCTCTCAAGTTCATCAATAACATGGAGAGAATAGTACCTGACTCAGAGTGTTGTTGTGAACGTTAAATAAGTTAATACAAGTAAATTACTTAGCGATTTCCTAGCTCCTAGGAAGTGCTCCATATCAGCTCAGAAAATTTTAATGTTATTAAAATGTAAACACCTTGACAAACCATCTTGGGGACCTCCCCATTCAGTCTTGACTTAGATTCTGTCTGAAAATGCATTTGGTGGTGTTTGTTCAGAGAGTCAGAAGGCATCAGGAAAGCTCCCTTCTACATTGACTGCAACATCTGGGGGTACTGAGGAGCCCAGAGTGCTAAGGGCAAAGGCTGGGGAGGAAGTGAGAAATCTGGGAGGTATGGGGAGGAGAAGGAACTTGGATCCCATGCCCTAGGAGAGTCTGCAACCCCTAGTCCCGGTAGGAAGTCGTGTTTTTGGACCCTAGACTGTAGGACTCCTGTCCCCAGCTCTGTCTCTCCAAAGAGGATTCATAGGGGCCAGGAATGTGTCCCTAGACCATCCATCTCAGTTCTGGAGAGATGTAGAGCATTAGCTTTAGAATCAGTTTGAGATCTGGGCCTCTCCCTGTCCCTGTGACCTGGCCGTGTTTCTTTATTTCTCCTAATCTTAAATTCTTCATCTGTGAAGCAGATGAATACCTACTTTATATGATTTGTGGTACAATTCATCAAATAATGCTTGTAATTTTCTTGGCCCAGGACCTCGCACATTAACTACTCTAACTACAAATAAACATTCACTGCTATTATTTTGCTCTTATAACTGGTGAAATCTGATCCTCCCACAGCATCACAGCAATCCAGGGAGGTGATTTTAGATCAGGAGTCATCTGTGAATCCTCTGTGGGAATTCTTTCAAACTATAGCATGCTTCCCACCTCATCCAAAATTCTGGCATAATTCCCTCGGGCAGTGGTTCTCAACCTTGGCTGTACATTAGAATCATCTGGAGAGCTGAGACTGAGCCTTGCATGGAGTCCACACTGTCAGCACAGAGCCTGTTTGGGATTCTCTCTCTCCCTCTCTCTCTGCCCCTCCCCAACTTGCTCGCTCTCTCTCTTTCTCTCTCTCAAATAATAAGTGGGTGAACTTTGAAAAAAAAAATGCCAGCCCAGACCATGACCCAGACTAATTATTTCAGAATCTTTGAATATATTAAGATATAGTTTATATTCAATAAAATGCACCCATTTTAAGTGTGCAGTTCATTGAAGCTTGGCAAATTAATACACTCAGGTAACCACCACCATTTTAAGATTTAGAACATTTCCATCACTTTCAAGAGTTCTCTTTGCCCCTCTGCTGTCAATTTCCCTCAGCCCCTGCCCCAGGCAACCACTGATCTGCTTTTCTGTTTTTTTGACCTATTCTAAAAGTTTATATAAATGGAATCATTGAGCTTTTACTTTGAGTATCTGGCTTCCTTTGCTCAGCATAATGTTTTGAGATTCATTCATTTCATCGGTGTATCCATAGTTCCTTTTTACTGCCTTGTAATATTCCATTTCGTGGATATACCACAGTCTGCTTATGCATTTGCCCATTGGTGGACATTTGCGTTGTGTCCAATTTGGGGCTATTATTAATAAAGCTTCAATGAACATTCATATGCAAGCTTTTGTGTAGACATGTTTTTAATTTTCTTTGGTAAGTACCTAGGAATGGAATTATTGGGTCACAACAAAGTGTTTTTAAAACCTGATCAGTGTTTTTAAAGCTCTCAGAGCTATTCCTGTGCAGCCCATGGCGTGGTTGACAGCCTGAAATCAGTGCCTGGGTGTGTGTAGTAGATAACAGGTGTGGCAGTGTTGGGGGATAGACGGGCGGCCCTGATCTCACTCACTCTTTGCAACATAAGACCTCTGGATCTCCCTGAGTGGTTTTACCACCTGCAGAGCCTTCTTCTATGCCCTGATATGGTGGAGGGCTATGGCTTGAGTTTATGAGATGTTTTTAAAACAATGCTAGCTTATTCAGTAATGTTTATTAAGCACATACCTAGTACCAGCATGGCCAACGTAGGGAATGCAGAAATGACCAATGCAGCTCCTGTCTCCAGGGAACTTGTACAGCCAAGACCAAGTAAACAGCTACAATATTCTCTGCCAGGTATTATTATAGGGTGTTCTAAGAGCCTAGCTAGGAACTGCTTCTTAACTAGAACATTCTACTGAGCATTAGGTACTTACCTAAATAACTACCTTCCTTGTTATTTAGGCAAGCCCTTTGGTAAAAAGTTAGAATCTGCTCCATTTTAGGAAGTTGGTGTTGTTAGTAGCCTATGTACCTTTGGCGGCTTCTTTTTTTTTAACCATGAGCACAAAAAGAAAGAGATGTTCTGATTTATAATCAGGATGGCTAATTAAACATAAGTGCTAAGGTATATATGCAGGATTAAAATGCCAATATTAAAGTAATAAGCAGTCCCTATCAAAATAACACCAGCATTCTTCACAGAGCTAGAACAAACAATCCTAAAATTTGTATGGAACCACAAAAGACCCCAAATAGCCAAAGCAATCTTGAAAAAGAAAACCGAAGCTGGAGGCATCACACCCCCGGACTTCAAGCTTTATTACGAAGCTGTAATCATCAAGACAGTATGGTACTGGCACAAAAACAGACACTGAGATCAATGGAACAGAATAGAAAACCCAGAAATGGACCCACAAACATATGGCCAACTACTCTTTGACAAAGTAGGAAAGACTATCCAATGGAATAAGGACAGTCTCTTCAACAAATCCTGTTGGGAAAACTGGACAGCGACATGCAGAAGATTGAACCTGGACCACTTTCTTACACCATATACAAAAA